ATTGAGCTTTTTCACCTTTCCAATTTGCTTCAAATGCCGAATGACCATAGAATGGTCAACGTTGAGTACTTCAGCAACTTCTCGTGTAGTTGTAAGAGGGTGATTGCTCTCAGTTGGTTGCTGTTAACTTTCGATGGCCAGCCACTGCACTCCTCATCTTCAAGGCTCTCTTCTTCTTTGCAAAACTCCTTGAACCACCCCTACACTGTACATTCGTTAGCAGTTCCTGGGCCAAATACTGTTGATGTTGCGCATTGTCTCTGCTCCTTTACGGCCCGTTTTGAACTCGAATAAGAAAATTGCTTAAATTTGCTTTTTGTCTAACATCATTTCCATAGTATAAAATAAAATATAAAATAAAAGCATGTAATAAGTCATTAGCAAAAAACATAAAGTGAGAAATGCACATTAAAATGATGTATAACATAACCACATTTAAGAATATCTTCCAATATCAAAGGGCAAATTTCAACAATTCTATAACCGCAATTACTTTTGCACCAACCTAATAGCTGCTGTTTCATTTCCACATTTCAAACAAATCTTGTATAGGTTGAGTAACCCTCATCTAAAATGCTTGGGACCAGAAGTGTTTTGGATTTTTTTGGGTTTGGGAATATTTGCATTATACTTACCAGTTGATCATCCCTAATCTGAAAATCTGAAATCTGAAATGCTCCTATAAGCGTTTCCTATGAGAGTCATGTCAGTGCTCAAAAAGTTTGGATTTTGGAACATTTTGGATTTCAGATTTTTGGATTAGGGATACTTAGCCTGTACAAATTACACTTTAGATCAACTCTAGCCCAGAACCATACAGTGAATGGGATTCTGGGAAAGTGGTTCCCAGACCACTTGTTGATGCAACACACACCAGCACAATTTGTATTTTTGTTCTGTTGGTTACCATTATATTGATACCTTTACATAGTATTCAAATTTTCTTCTCTTTTGGGGGAGGGGTGTTATGTATTGGTTTTCTACTGTGAGCAATATTGAAATGAGCTAGTAACCTCCTTTCCTTATTTCCTTTTTTCCCAGCATTTGGTATGAAGTAACACCCTTTTACTCTCAGTTAATAACCGTAAGACAATCAGGAAACATATTCTACTTTTTATATGCTCTCATTACCCTCTCTCCATTTTAGATAATTGTATCTGTACTATCAAGTATACATATCGATTACATAATATGCTTTCTCAGTTCTTTTAGTAAATACCATCATGCGCCACATAATGATGCTTCAGTTAATTATGCACTGCTGTATACAGTGGTGGTCCCATAGTATTATAATTCTGTATCTTTTCTATGTTTAGATACACCAGTAGTTACCATTGTGTTACAGTTGTCTACAGTGTTTAGTACAGTAACATGCTGCACAGGTTTGTAGTCCAGGAGCAATAGGCTATACCATATAGCCTAGGTGTGTAGTAGGCTATACCATCTAGGTTTATGTAAGTACACTCTGTGATGTTTGCCCAAGAGTGAAATCACCTAAGGATGCATTTCTCAGAATGTATCCCTGTTGTTAAGCAATGCCCGGCTGTATATATTTAATTATCCCTGTTAATGTGGATGTCTGTCTAGTCATTTTGGTCATCAGAAGCATATTCTTTAGTAGGTCCCTTAGGAAAAGGTCAAGGGAACAATATTTCTTAGGTTATTGCAGTTAAGAACAGTTTGATTGTCATCATTATACAATTGTCCCAGTTGGTTCCAGGACCTCACATGGATACCAGAATCCACAGATGCCCAAGTCCCTGATATGAAATGGCATGGTATTTGCATATAACCTATGCAAATCCTCCCATATAATTTAAATTATCTCTAGATTACTTATAATACCTAATACAAAGTAAATGTTATGTAAATAGTTGTTATACTGTATTGTTTAGGGAATAATGACAAAGAAAAAAGTCTGTACGTGTTCAGTCCAGACACAGTTTTTTTCCCCAAATATTGATCTGCAGTTGATTGGTTGCACAGATACAGAGCCCATAGATAGGAAGGGCTGATTATACTTGGAACTCCAGTTTGGCTGAATAAACAATCCTTAGTTTACATTTTCTTCCTTTGAGTATCTTCAACTTATGTTACTCCATTGTCTTCTGATACAAAGTTTTGTCAAAGTCTGGTGACTGTTTTTTTGTTTCTTATATAAGTGACTTCCTTTTTCTGCCTGGCTGTGCAAAGGATTTTTTTTTCTTGTTCATACAAGTTCAACAGTTCTACTACAATATATTGGTTATTCTGGGTCAGTTTTTCCATGTTTATAAAGTACCTATAGTTTCAAGTACTTTATTTAAATTTCAAAAAAATTTTTTTCAGTGAGGTTTTTTTAAATTCTAGTTTCTAATACTCATTCCGTTGACTTGGTTTGTTTACTTGGTGACTCCTGTTATACTTACGTTGGATCTTTGTCTATCTTCCTTGTCATTTTATTGCAAATTCTCATTTTTCATTTCTTTTTTATATTACAACTTTCCTACTTTTTTTTAACCTTCTTTTACTCTTAAAGCATTGTCTTCTGTGTTAATTCACTTGTGTGCATCTTCTGGTTAATCTTCATTTCTGAAATGATTTTTCTTTTTTTTCCCTAATTCTTTCCTGCGTTCTATCAACTAATTTCTCTTCGTAATTCTATTTTATGTTATTTCATATCCTTTATCATTTTCTTAATTTCTCTTTGCTCATTTTGAAATAATAATTTATAGTTTTTATCTGTTGATAGACTTTTTTGGCATGCTTTCATTTTCTATTGTCAGACGCTTATGTTTTTCTGTCTCTTTTTTTCTTATATTTTAATAATAATTCTACATAGGATTTGACCTCAGTCCTTTTTCATTGCTTGTTTTATGTGAAATTAATTTTCCTAAATTTGTAGGAGGGAAATGTAGGCCAGGAGAGCTTTGTATCTTCATGGCTCTGGAGCCCATTTAAAACTTCTTTCCGTGAGATTAAAAAAGTATACAGTCTCATTCTTTTATAGCTCTCTTGACCTTCTTCCTCTTTTTCATCTTTATCTGGATTTTTTTTCATTTGCCCCCTTTTCTTCTGTTATAAGGGGTGGGGAACCTACACTTCAAGGCCACATGTGGCCCTCCGGATCCCCAAGTGTGGCCCCTCAACTGAATCCAAACTTCACGGAACATATCTGTTTATTAAAAGGATTTGTTGTGTAAAACTTGGATTCAGTTAAAAGGCTGCACTCAAGGATCCAGAAGGTCACATGTGGCTGTGCTTTTCTTTGAGGATGCAATACAATTTTGGGATCTCCTCTTGTCAAATGATCCATCACACACAGAAGTAGACATTCTGCTTTCCTCTCTCCTTTCAGTAGATGCTTATGCCATATCCGTACTGTAACTGTAAGTGGTTTGTCCCTATTTGCTTATTTTTTTGGGAGTGGGGGGCACTTTCTTGTCGTATACATTTTCACGTAGATGTCCATGAGTTTGTGGTTTTACTAGAGAAATTCTAGTTTCTTTGCTATTTTATGGGGCACTTGGGGAAAGTCACAAATTGCACTGCAGATACTGCCATCTTCCGAAGTCCCTTTTTTTGGCCCTTCATATTTTTTCCCTCCATAATCTTTATAATTAACATTATATAATTCTGTAGCTTCTCTTCTCCCCTCTCGTTTGTACCTTAAAAAATGTGCTCCCCACTTCTATTTAGTATTTTTTTTTACTATCAAATTCATCATCTATTATTAACTGACTTAACATACTTGGGAATGCACTTGTTCTCTTTCCAAAAATGTGCCTAACACTTTTATTTAGTATTTCTTTACTATGAGATTAATCATCTGTTAACTGACTTAGCAAACTTGGGCATGTACTTGGTTGATCTCTTTCCATGTTTAGTAGTACCATTTTCAAAATGAGAAAGTTGGACTCAGATTTGTTTCTTTGACAAAGGAACCTCACTAGGGTTCTCTGTTAGTGTTGGCAGGGTCTAATATTAAACAGTAAATATTTTCATGATGCTTTAAATCAGATTGCTGCTTTTGAGCAGAGTAGAGATGAAATTCTAGCAAGTGGAACTTAACTCATTCTCAGAGAAATGTAAATGTGCTCTCCCCAAAGGATATCTTTTTCCACTGGATTTATCTATTGTTCTCTTACTCCCTCAATTGTGTAGCTATGAGGGTGCTTATCTTGAGTCACTCTTACAATGTTTGTTCCAGGGTTTATAGTTTTTTCTTATTTCTGAACAATCGGCAGTTATTTGCTATTTTTTTTTTTTTGAGACAGAGTCTCACTGTGTTGCCCGGGCTAGAGTGAGTGCTGTGGTGTCAGCCTAGCTCACAGCAACCTCAGACTCCTGGGCTCAAGTGATCCTTCTGCCTCAGCCTCCCGAGTAGCTGGGACTACAGGCACGCGCCACCATGCCCGGCTAATTTTTTTTTCTATATATTTTTAGCTGTCCAGTTAATTTCTTTCTATTTTTGGTAGACACGAGGTCTCGCTCTTGCTCAGTCTGGTCTCGAACTCCTGAGCTCAAACGATGCACACGCCTCGGCCTCCCAGAGTGCTAGGATTACAGGCGTGAGCCACCGTGCCCGGCCTATTTGCTATTTTTAACTAGAGATCTGGGGCATAGATTTTCTCGATCTGTTCTTTTAATGTTTGAGTTCAACGAATATAAGGGAAAGGATTGTATACATTTTATTGCAGATGTCCTCTGAAATAATTTTTGGCTATAAGGAAATAACTTTCTGTGAGTCATTCATTCTTATAAAGTGCTGGGTAAAGAATTTAATTTTGTAGGTAGATTCTTCTTTTGCAGTGAAGAAAACTGCAAAAATTAAAATTTCCAAAGAATTTAAGATTTGCTATAAATGCTGTCATATATTGAAAATTGGAGCTTGAGATAAAAATATAGGTAACTGTAGTTAGTAAAATTTCCCCAAAATGTCATGATTTTTAATGAGAAATAAAAAGTTATTTTTAGTTACAGTCAAGGATAAACTCTTAACATGTTTTTTCCCCCCTCAGCTTCCAATAAAAACAGGACAGCAGAACACACACACCAAAGTCAGTACTGAACACAACAAGGAATGTCTAATCAATATTTCCAAATACAAGTTTTCTTTGGTTATAAGTGGCCTCACTACTATCCTAAAGAATGTTAACAATATGGTGAGTATTTGGGTTACGGATTTGGGGAGAATTTGCTTTGTTTTTGATTTAAAAATTTGAAGCAGCATATTTTGAAGTATGCGAAGTAATTTTCTGTGGACTTTGGGTATAATCGTTTGTCTTATTTTATAGATGAGCACAGGTAACCTTTTAACTTTCATTTTAGTTTTTGATTCTTTCCCTTAGAAACTTCCCTTATTTGTGACTCTATCTCCTTTTCCAGTATTTTTCTGGAATTACGGTTTCATATAGTTTTTGTGTCATATACAAGTTGACCATGGTAAATATGCTTTTCTGTAGCTTTTTTATTTGTTCCCAGTCCTAAATAGATGATAATTAAAATATAATCTCATAGTCCTAAAATGTGGGATTAATTTTTGAGAAGATGTTAATGTTTTTTTCTTCCCCCTGTAACCTGTGACAAATTCTATAGTGGAGAGCCTGTTGTTGAAACAGTTTTCCTCAAATATCAATTTCATCAAGTAATTCTAATTTTAAAAGCTCATAGTTTTTTCTTTCTTACCATTTTGTAAAGTCTGTTGACATTCCATAGACTTCAAGGTACTCCAACTGTTCTCCCTCCATGACTTTGAACATACATCTCTTGTCTCTCTCAGGTGACCCCTTTGTCTCTATCAATTCCTATCTTCTCCTTCATACTCAGTTCAAAGCAAGTGATCTGGATTTTTCTTGATTATCTCCACATTCCCTGCTTGTCCTTAGCATTTATAATCTCAATTTGTGTTGAGTTATGGAATGACTTGTGATTGATTATGAAGTTCAGTCCCTTTTTTTTTGTTGGAGATGGTCCTTAGGTTTATTAGGTAATGTTCTAGTATGACATTGAAAAGACATGCAGTCAGTCACCTTTTTGCCTTATTTCCCTATTTTAGATACTTTTTATTTTTAATTGATATAATAATTGTATTTATTATGGGGTACCTGATGTTTTGAGGCATAAAATGTTTAGTGATCAGATCAGAGTAATTAGCATATTCATCTCTAACATAATAAAAGAAATAAATACATAAGAAATAAATAATACAAAGAAATAAATATTTCTTTGTATTGGGAATGTTCAGTATCCTCCTTCTAGCTATTTGAATATTAACTATAGTTTTTCCACAGTGGTATAGAACGCTAAGACTTATTTCTCCTATCTAGCTATAATTTTGTATCCTTTAGCAAATCTCTCCCTATTTCCCGCTTCCCCCACCCATCCGAGCCTCTCTCGATTCTACTTTTTACTTCTATAAGATAACCTTTTTTTTTTTAGCTTCCACATACAAATGAGAACATGCAGTGTTTAACTTTCTGTTCATATCATCTTTGGTGTGTTTCCTTTTAAGAAAGTTGCTAGGATAATACCCCAAATTTACAAAACTAACAAACTGGAGGTGTGGGCAATCATTTGTCTTTTGAAGATTTTTTTCTTTATGGAAAAAAATTAAGATTTTTCACCCAAAAAGCAGGGCCTTTTATAAACATGTAAAGTGATTTACAGAAATACATTTAATATTTTGTTTAGCTCTTCTGTTGCATTGTGTGGGGCACAGTGATAGGATTTTGCACATATAAATATGTGGCCATGTTCCCCGTTGGATTAAAATGTTTTAATATTTTGGGCTCTCTTTTCAAAACAACAGTATTGTGATATGTTTATTGAATAAATTAAATTGTGGAAACTATAGTCTCTTGTTAGTAGATATGTAGTGCAGAATTCATTTTGAAGATAGTGGATGCTTAAAAATTTGTTGTAGTGGGTGCTATAGCATTTTGTTGTTATAAGAATTAAAACTTTGATTATTTTGTGGTATAAAAGTATGGTTAAATGTTCACTTCAAGGTTCTGGTACAGATCTATATGTATGTCTAAATTCTACATATTTTTAAAACTTAAACCAAAGCAGTATCTTTTACTGTTACAAGGTTAATGGCAGACTCTAATACATACCAGCGTTTGTTTGCTTGAGAATTTGTTTTGTATGAAGATTAGGATAAAATCACAAATAATAGATTTAAATGTAGTATAATCTGGGAGATAAAATGGAAGAATATTGATTTTTCTTGATCCTCAGTCCCTCACTTTTCAGATGTGTGTTGATTGGTAGTGGAGAGTGATAACCAACTTTTATGTTCTGAATATCTTTTCTGTTAGAGAATATTTGGAGAAGCTGCTGAAAAAAATTTATATCTCTCTCAGTTGATTATATTGGATACACTGGAAAAATGTCTTGCTGGGGTAAGTAAATCCACTCTTAACTAGGCAGGTTTTATGAATTCAGTCTTGAGAATGATGTGATGTACCAAAGTATAGGTGTGGACAAAGAAGACAGTCTAAGACATAGGAATATGAATTTTGTTAATACAGCTGACCTGGTGGCAAAATTTCCTAGGAGTATTATTCTTTCACCTTTTGTAAATTAAATAGATATTAAGTTTACTTATAAAGTGTTAAGTTTTAGCCACATATCTGTCTCTCAGGTTTTTTAGGAAAGACTTTATGAAGAAAGCACTATTTGATGTAACTAATCTCTCAGAGCTGTGAAAGACTGTGATTGAGAAGACCAAGAGTAATCATGTATGCCTTCCTGTATGAATATAATTTTAATATTCTACTTTTCAAATCTGTATAAAAGAGAACTTAAACCTATCCTATTAAGGGTAGATATTACCTATTCTGTTTTGTGTAAATATGAACATAAACAATAGATATGTGCAGGAGTAATTGAATACCAAAAATTTTTTTCTCAGGTGTCCTTCAAGTTATTATATCAGTGTATTTCAACCATGACTTAATTTGAACTTTTTAAAGATTGTTTCTGTTGTATAAAGCAAAGTGTTTCTATACTTAAGGAGACTTAATTCTTCCTGGAACATGGTAGGAATTTATATAAATATATAAATTAAATACCTTCATTTTAAAGATCTGCCTATTCCATGTGTATTGGGGTCTTATTTCTTATAGTCTCTCTTTGGTACAGAATTCTGAATTTTGCTTTTATTCAGAATCCCTTCTCTTTTCTGCATGTGCTGTAGTTCTCTATAGTAAACCTAGATGGAAGGGTCTTTAATATTTGAGGACTGCTTGTGTACTTGAGAGAAGGAATGGTCAGAAGTGCAAAATTATATAAAATGTATGTATAATTATATATAAAATTCCATTCCCTTTGTCTAAGGGTTGAGGTAGGGAATTAGAAAAAATAATTATATCGACAAAACTATGTATCCCTAGGGAAGCCTGTAGGTCATGAAATCTAAGCATAATATTTTAAGCTCTCTTATTGACCCTTGACCATATTGCAAAATTGTGGGACAGTGTTTGTAAGTTTTCTACTTCAATTGAGGGTGAGCTAGTTGTTTTAGCTTGGTATTTTCTCTTAATTGTGATACGCTGTTATTCATTTGTAAAATGGAGAGTGAAAGAGCAAAAGGGCTGTTACATAGGATGATGTAATTGGGAAGATGGACAACTTTTAAACTTCTCCTAATTCAATTCTTTGTAGTGGTCTTATAACTTTGATTGTAAATTACTGGTATATCAGCCACACCCAAGACTGAATGGGAGCAGGGTGGTTTATTGCCTCTTCTAGTTCCATAGCTTTTCCCCATTAACATTTGTAATTGAGAGGTAATGATAAATGTATTTTGGAAAAAGCTCACTGGTATTGTTGGCCCATTTGATTTAATATTCTTTGGAGTTAGACTACTTGAAATGCTAATAAGTGGGGCCTGGTATAACTTATGTAATGCATACAATATGTAATACCTTGCCCTGCTCTACTATTCCAAATGTATAGGTTTTTTCCATTAAATTTATAATCTAAAAAATAATGCTATTTACATTATCAAACAATTGTATTTTCTGGGATTACTTTCAGTGATTTTACAGATGTCTCTTGATCCTCAGTTGGTAGATCAAAATAAGTTTAGGCAGTTTAAGAAGAACTGAGCCTACAAGTACATATTTATCATATAAGTAGCTGGAATAGCTAAGTGAAAAAGAACTAATACTTACCACTATGTTATTATAAGTAAAATTTTGTAGAATTTGAGGAATTTTAAAGTATTTTTGTTCCCGTGCATATGACTATTATTCAAAAGATGTAATACTTTTTTGATTTTTATTTATTAATTGGATTTAGTTTCAACATGTGTATTGTTTGGTTGTCTTGTAAACAAGAAATAGCCATTGTAACTTGAATTTTGCAGGTTTTTGTGAAATGTATTTATTTACTGTGCATGTATTTCAGTGTATTTGCATCCACAAGTTCTTGGATTTCAATTAAGAATCAGGTGTGTGTCTGGTGTGGTGGTTTATGCATTTTGGGAGACCAAGGTGGGAGGATCGCTTGAGGCCAGGAATTCTAGACCAACCTGCGCAACATGTGAGACCTCATCTCTACAAAAAATAAAAAAAATTAGGTGGGCACAGTGGCACGTGTCTGTATTCCCACTTACTACAGAGACTGAGGCAGGAGGATCACTTGAGCCCAGGAGTTTGAGGTTGCAGTGATCTATGGATTGGGCCACCGCACTCCAGCCTGGGTGAAAGAGCAAGACCTGTTGCTAAAAAACAAAACAGTACAAAAAAGAATCCAGTATAGCACACGATTATACAAATTTTTTTCTTTCACCCTACTCAGGTATTATCAAAATTGTTATTCATATATGAATACCAAAGCCATTAGATAAGATAGTAATGTAGAATAGCGTATCTGTAGAATAGCTTATCCATTAGTTGTTTGTAAATTGCAGAGTAGATAATTATAAAGTAGAGATTTCAATGCTAACACCAAACTTATCAGACTTGCTATATCATTAACGGGACCACCAGGCATTATGTGCTCACGATGTGATATAACATGAACTTACTGAATTAGCTAACACGTTTAACCTGAATCTATCTAATTAAACTATTAGATTTAAATTCTAGCTTACAGAAAATATAGTAACTAGAAGAACAAGCCAAGTTGTATCTCTAGGGAATAATTAAATCAAGAATATGGAACCTTCTATAAGGCAACTGGCCCAGTTTCTTAAAGCCAATGTCATGGAAAATAAAAATGATATATATAGGCCAGGCGCGGTGGCTCACGCCTGTAATCCTAGCACTCTGGGAGGCCGAGGCGGGCGGATCGTTCTGAGCTCAGGAGTTCGAGACCAGCCTGAGCAAGAGCGAGACCCCATCTCTACTAAAAATAGAAAGAAATTGGCCAAACAACTAAAAATAGAAAAAAAAAATTAGCCGGGCATGGTGGCGCGTGCCTGTAGTCCCAGCTACCTGGGAGACTGAGGCAGAAGGATCGCTCGAGCCCAGGAGTTTGAGGTTGCTGTGAGCTAGGCTGACACCACAGCACTCGCCCCAGGCAAGAGAGTGAGACTCTGTCTCAAAAAAAAAAAAAGAAAAAATGATATATATAATGTACGTGGGGGAGACTGCTCTCATGTTGTAGTCTGTGAACCTTTTTTTGACCCTCATTGAATAAAAAAAGCTAAGAAAGACATATTAGGGCAGTGGTGAAATTTGAATACAGAATGAGTATTAGACAATACAAGGAATTGTTTATTTTTCCTTGTGTGTTAATTGTTTTGAAGTTATATTAGAGTCCTTATTTTTAAGAGATGCTAAGGTATGTAGGGGTGAAGTATTATGTTTATAACTGATTTGAAATAATTCAACCAAAACAAAATTACTTCTAGTAAGTAGTATCTGTTTTGGTCAGTCTGCACAAAGACAGGCGTGATCCCTCATCCGGGAATTTATTCGGATGTTAGGAAATGACACAATGCACTCGCCAATCAATATGAATAAAGTTTATTTAGAACTTACAGCAAAGAGGGGATTCCTAGGAATAGAAGGACTCATTAATTAACCAAGAGAGCAAGCAGGAGTCGGGGAACTAGTGAGGATAGATGAGGAATTGGACTTTAATTGTGATTATGGGTGAGAGATGGAAACATCCTTTTTTTTTTTTAAAGAGACAGAGTCTCGCTCTGTCACCCAGCCTGAAGTGCTCTTACAGGATCATAGTTCGCTGCAGCCTTCTGAGTAGCTGGGACTACAAGTGCACGCCACCAAACTTGGCTAATTTTTAAATTTTTTGTTTTAGAGATGGAGTCTTGCTATATTCCTCAGGCTGGTCTCCAACTCCTGGCCTCTGGGTATCCTCCCGCCTCAGCCTCTCACCTCCTGCCTCCAGTCTCCTGCTTCAGCCTCAGTAGCCAGGATTACAAGCCACTGGGGCCGGCCATCCTCTTTATTAGGCTACCTAAAAAAGATGTGGCAAATATGATGAAATGTTAACAATTGTTGACTCTAGGTGATGGGCATATGAGTGTTCATTATTCTATTTCAGCTCTTCTGTATGTTTGAAAATTTTCATAGTAGAAAATGTTTAGAGGTGAAGTTAAGAAAGTTTTAGAATTATGTGATTATTTCTATTTTAGCAACCAAAGGACACAATGAGATTAGATGAAACAATGCTGGTCAAACAGTTGCTGCCAGAAATCTGCCATTTTCTTCACACCTGTCGTGAAGGAAACCAACATGCAGCTGAACTTCGGAATTCTGCCTCTGGGGTTTTATTTTCCCTCAGTTGCAACAACTTTAATGCAGTCTTTAGTCGAATTTCTACCAGGTTAGTGTGTAAATCCACATGGGACCATTGAATTAATATGAATTTTAGAAGTCTTTTTTTGTCTACATAAAAATAAAAAGTTAACAGAAAGGAGTTTTTTCTGGGCTTTTGTAGAAATTTTATGTATTAATTACTTTGAAATTTTAATTATGTAATGTGATATTGATGTATGCAGTTAAATGTGTATATTGTTAAAAACTTGAAAGTGTAAATTTTAGGAATAAATATCTCCCATGACCAGGCTTTCTAAAAAACACTAGGTATGAATTTTTGGTTTGGCTTTTTAAATATCTTATTCCTTTAAATGAAATTAGCCAATCAGATGCAATAATTGTTAAGAATAGTCAGAATTCTAATGATCTCACAGCTTTATTCCTTATCAGAAGATCCTAATTTACCAAAAAACCTAAGCAATATGGAAGCACAAGGAAGTGAATAGTTAGAGTAGACTTTTCCAGAAAGTGGACTGTGTTTTAAGTACATGTAAAATATTCCTGTTTATTGAGTATTTACAGCATATGCTATGCTGTCTTATCTTCACAGCAACCCTGAAAGGTAGGTGATACTTCCTATGTTTTACAAGTAATACCCAAAAAGTTAAGGTGATGTGCTAAACAATGGAGGGCCCAAAATAACAAAGGGTGACTTCAGAATCTATATTAGTTTCATCATACCAGGTTGCTTCCCTATGCTTCTATTTTAACTGTATTTTGATGAAATCCTTTTGATAAAATATACTTTGTTTTAAAGATGTATCATAAATATAATTCAAGCTTTTATTGATGATTCAAAATCATTGTGAGCATTAGTTGTGATATGCTACAGATGGAGAAATTGGTATAAATGGTGCTCTATGGGATAGAATTATAAGTAACAGTAGCAAGTAACTGTGGAACTTGCTTTCATGCAAATGATTTGCCTTTCTCATGCAAGTCAAATGTGTTCTTAACTTAATTACGACCAAGTAGGAAATATAACAAATCACTTAGTGACTTAGTGAATCAAAGACTGATAGAGAAAAACAGCCCTCTTTGCTTACTGGTACTTGCATCATTGACATGTCAGTGTTGTGTGAACAGTGGACTTCCAATTATTCAGATTCACTCATTATTGTGTTGGTTTCCAACAGATGTGAATGAGAACATACATCATAATTTGAGAATTTGTGCTATGGTGTTTCATGGAATTGACTGACTTCAAAGTCCTGCAGTCTTTTTAAACAGAAATGACATTTCTATAATTATAATGCTAGGCAACAATATTTTTCAACCTCAACAGAATTCCTGGCCCAAGGAAAAAGTTTTACTTAATGGTATATGACTGATATACCATTGTAATATTTATATGATAGAACAATATTTCCATGAAATCTTTTGAGTAAATAATATTTCATATTCTGAGTAATAATATACTGGTTGAATCAGCAAAGTAACAAACACCTAGGGAATAGGAGGCTGGAAAATTATAAAAAACAAAAACCGTTTTCATTTAGGTGACTGTTAGACCAGCCTTACTAATTGAAAGCTTATGTTGAAGGTAGAAAGTGATAAAAAAAAAAAAGTTTTTTAGTCTAGCCATATGTGAGTTGCTTTATAAAACATAGCAAATATACCACTTTTGAAAACTCTAGGAATTTTCTAATTACCAAAGATTTTATGGGATTTTGCAGCATTGGCACATGTAAAAATAGACAACTTTGATTATTTCCTGATTCTAGTTGATTGTCTGTTGCCAAAATAGAAGTTAAGTGTCTAAAATTTCATTAGTTTTCAGGGGACAGACTGCTCGGAAATGAGATCTGTGAAATAACATGTTTCAGACAACTGCATTTGCCTTTTCATTTAGCTTGTGCCAGAAATAGGAGCTGATCTTGTTAGAGGACCACTCATCTAAAAGACCTTTATGATGGTTTAATTTAGGTGGGGACATCTTATGATATTGCTGTTATAGCATTAGGTGGCTTAAAAATATGCTCGAATGGCAGTTCTTTCTAAAGATCCATTTTATATTTCATATATAATGGATGAATCAATATCATGAAAATATATTATTTAACTATTCTCCCTGTCATTAAGTTTTTCTCCATTAAGATTAAGGTTTGCTTTTTGTATTTCTGACCTTTATTTTTCTTTAGGGGAAGAGGGGCAATAGGTCTTAAAATAGCTAGAGTATACCATGTTCTGTGGCTCATAATATTCTTTTGTGTAGAAGATTAGCTGGTTTCTCCACAGAATTTCTATACAACTGCACTAGATCTAGTTGTTTCGTATTAATAGGGTACTTCCGAATATTGGATTTGATATACCACCAGAGGCAGAAGACTAAATGACTTTAAAAGTCATTGTGTTCTTTACAATTTACTTTTTCATTTTTATTTTTTCTTTTTTCTGTGCAAGGCTCTACCTGACTTTACACTTTACTATTTGGTTCTATACAAATCTATTTTTTGTGGTTTCTTACTCATTATTTTTAATAAGTTTTCAGTTTCTTCTTGTATGCCTCTAATCATTTAAAACATACTTATTTTATATTCTTGTTAATATTTTTTAAATTATATGTTTGTATGTGGTGACTTTCATTCACAGGAATTGTTTCCTGTTTTGTAATCTTTGATTGCAAACTTATCTTTAGTGTGGGCTATATTTTCTTTGGGAATCTATTATGGTCTTGAGCTGTGGTAGTGTTCTAGTGATGGTTTTGCATTTGTATTTGCCAGTTGCCCAGCTCTAGACCTATTTTTTTGTTAATTTCTCAGTCCCAGACTGTATAAGTAGTATAAATTTGGACCCTAAACCCTTATAATGTAACAGTTCTGGTGACTTTTGTCCCCCTTATTCAAAGCTTAGGCAGAACAGATAAACTTATTTGTGCTGATAGATTTTCTTTTTCTTTCTTTCTTTTTTTTTTTTTTGTTTAAGAAGTGCATAGTTCTTTCTAGTTCATGTTTTATGCAGAGCCCATGTTCTGATCTCTGCATTATTAGGGTACAAGGCTTTATATCCAGTTTCCATGTGAATGTTAAGCCCCAAGCTCCTAGGTTAGGTTAAAGAGATCAAAAACCTCCCTTATCCTTCCTTTGTTGCAGGGCTAGATCATGAACTTAATTCTCTGGTTTTCAGTTTCCATTTCATTTCTGAACCTTAGTGGGAAGGTAGAGTTTTACTTAATTTTTATACATTTAAAATATCTTTCTATTCAGTATACATCTTTCTAGATTTTTTTTTTTTTTTTGAGACAGAGTCTCGCTCTCTTGCCTGGGCTAGAGTGCTGTGGCGTCAGCCTACCTCACAGCAACCTCAAACTCCTGGGCTCGGGCGATCCTCCTGCCTCAGCCTCCCAGGTAGCTGGGACTACAGGCACGTGCCACCATGCCCGGCTAATTTTTTCTATTTTTAGTCATTTGGCCAATTTCTTTCTATTTATAGTAGAGACGGGGTCTCGCTCTTGCTCAGGCTGGTCTCGAACTCCTGAGATCAAACGATCCTCCTGCCTCTGCCTCCCAGAGTGCTAGGATTACAGGTGTGAGCCACCATGCCCAGCCTTCTAGATGTTTTAGTGTTAGGTTTTCCACACTTCTTTTCTTTTGCTCGGACTACCCCATAGTGGTACTGGACTATAAAAGAGGCAACATTTTTCTTCCATTTTTCACTAACATCTGTAAGAGTCAGCTTTTCAAAAGTTGGTGTTGCTGATCTATATTATGTTGTGTTTTCAAAGGAGTCATATTCCATATTTCTATGCTTTTTGCAGCAGCTGTGGAATTTTTAGCATGTAAATTAGTATTGAGGACCACCTCAATTTGCTTGAACTGACAAGGTTTTCTCACACTGATGATATGAAGAGGTTTAGTGTAAGTGCTTAGAATAATTTTAATGTTAGCTAAAGGCTAAAGTGAGTGAAAGAAGAATTTGGGAAGGAAGAAATAGAATTGATTTCATTTTTAGCAACTGAAGGTTTAGCGTGATGAATAATAAGTCAATTTTAAACTGAACTAAAATTGTTAAATTCAAGTTTATGCTTATCAATAAGACCATATAATATTTGTGCTTTTTCATCATATCTCTATTGCTCCCTTTATAAAAATTAGTAATTCCATCCTACTGCTTACTTTTTTGATGTATATTAATATGACTAGTGAGTATGCCTTATTAGGTAGCAGAGTTTAATAGATTGGTGATACCAACTTTTGAAAATCTGACCCCTGCGGTTTTTAGTGAGAAATGGAAGAAAAATTTAATACCTTTTATTTAGGCTTAAGTGAATTTATTAGTTTTAAAATATCTACATTTTTGTTAAAGTGTTAAATTTTTCTTTTTTCTTTTCTTTTATATTAGAAATAGGGTCTCACTCTGTCACCTAGGCTGGAGTGCAGTGGCCTTATCATAGCTCATTGTAACCACAAACTCCTGGGCTCAAGCTGTCCCGCTTCCACAGCTTCCTGAGTAACTAGGACTACAGGCATGCACCACAATACCCAGTTAATTTTTTATTTTTTGTAGAGACAGGGCCTTGCTATGTTCCCCAGGCTGATCTCGAACTCTTGGCCTCAAGCAGTCCTCCCACCTTGGCTTCCCAAAGTGCTGGAATGACAGGCATGAGCAACCACACCTGGCCCTTAAGTGTCAGATTTCTCTACATTTTTTTTTTTTTTTTGAGACAGAGTCTCACTGTGTTGCCCGGGCTAGAGTGCCGTGGCGTCAGCCTAGCTCACAACAACCTCAAACTCCTGGGCTCAAGCGATCCTCCTGCCTCAGCCTCCCGAGTAGCTGGGACTACAGGCTTGCGCCACCATGCCTGGCTAATTTTTTCTATATATTTTTAGTTGTCCGATTAATTTCTTTCTCTTTTTAGTAGAGACGGGGTCTCGCTCTTGCTCAGGCTGAGCTCAAACAATCCGCCCGCCTCGGCCTCCCAGAGAGCTAGGATTACAGGCGTGAGCCACCGCGCCCGGCAGATTTCTCTACATTTGTAGAGAATTCTCTGAGTTTGATAAATTCATATTCAATATAAAGGAAGTTTGGGTTTAAAGAGATTTCTGTCCTTATAAGCTTATGTACTACTATGAAGGAGAGACATTACTCAAATAATCATATAAACACATGTACAGACTGTGAAAAGTGCAATGAAAAAAGGCTTACTTGATTTTTGAATACAAAGTAAATGTACCCTGTGAATGCAGATAAAGTATCATTTATGTTTCTGTAGTCTAGTTGACAAGAACAGAGGTTAATATAATTTTTACATATTTGAAATTTGAATTTTAAAAACTTTTCATTGTGGAAATATTTTAAACGTAAACATATAAGAACAAATAGTATTTCAAATCCCCCCGTATCTCTTACTCTGCTTCAGCTGTTATCACCATGCTGTGATTCTTGATTTATCTCTTTTTTCCTTTTTTAGTACTTGAAGGCAAACCCTAGACATCGTATCATTTCCCCTGTAAATATTTCAGTATGTATCTCTAATAAATAGATTTTAAAAAATTAAAGTACAATCTTATTAAATACCTAGAAAATCATAATTCCTTAATATCATCTATTACCAAATTTGTGTTTAATTTTTTCTCATTAGCTCAGAAATGGCTTTTTCATTTGGTTTGTTCAAATCAGAATACAGACAAGATCCATACCTTGCAATTTGTTGATATTTCTCTTGAGTCTCTCTTAATTTATATCATTTCTTTATTTCTGTACCCCTCTTCCCATTTTTTTCGTGCTATTTGTTGGACTGGGTTATTTGCCTTGTAAAATTTTCCACATTCTCTGTTTGGCTGGGTTTGACTGGATTCAGGTTCATTTGGCTGGAGGGCCAAGAATACTTTACAGAGAGTTCTATGTAATTCATGTTGCCATATTATCCCGCTTTTAGTATTACGATCAATTGTTGGATTTAGATGTTATTAGCATTATCCATTCATTTTAAAGTGTCCCATAAAATTTTTACCGAATGGTTTTAGGTAACCACTGATCATCATTGCTTGGATTTGTCATTTCATTGGGCACTACAAAATGATAAATTTTCTATTCTGCCATTTATTCTTTATTTTTAAATTGTGAGTCTTGTAAAAGATTTTTGCTTGATGATTTATTCAGTTATCTTACAATGCAGTCAGTACATAGAGGGAACGCAGGATAGAGACTTGACTGTCATTCATTTTCAGAACGAGTCGTTACCCTAATAGCTGTGAAAGGTTACCCATGAGGTTTTTTTTTCAGTATTACTACAGACTCATGGATTTTTATTTTTTGTGTATGTTTTTCAATTGTAGACATTTTTTCGCTGCTCAAATTATGCTATTTTTGAAAGTTGGGAGCCCCTTTAAGTGCGTATCTATGCGACTGTTTACATGACTCTGGTAGTTGTTTGATAGTTTCCTTGTTTGAAGCTCAAGGTGATTTGGGCTCATGTTGTCCACATCTCCTGCCCCAATCCTGGAATTAACTAATTTTCCCAAAGATCCCTGGCTAAAAGTATCAAAAATTATTTAAACACCTCAATTTTAAAGATAGGGATACTAAGTTTACTGGATTATTGTATTTTCTTTTGTCGTATTCCTTAAATTAGTTATGTTTCTTTAGATTTTTATAAGAAATACTTATTCCTTTATTTTTATATATGTTTTTACTCTTGTAAACTCATCATTGGGGGAAGAATCTGTTGAATTCAGAATTTGGAATATCCTAAAATTTAATTTGATAAATTGTTTTTTACTTTTTAGGTTACAGGAATTGACTGTTTGTTCAGAAGACAATGTTGATGTTCATGATATAGAATTGTTACAATATATCAATGTGGATTGTGCAAAATTAAAACGGCTCCTGAAGGGTAAGTTTAAATGTGTGATAATATATCTAAAATTAATCACTGGGTCAAAAACCAGTATTATGAATGTACTAATTACATTAACTGTGTTGAAGTAGAACATCAAAATTATTTTATAATGCAGATGTTTTTGTGAAATGGCCAATAATACATATGATTTACTCGTTTTTGAACCTTTGAAAATAATACAGTAGAGAAAATGAGTATCTTAAATCCTGACAATGGAAAGTTTTGTTCAACTACAATTTTTGCATTTAATAAAGAGAATGTATGGTGCTGCTGTTTAATTTTTATGGAATTTCATCTCTTTATGACTATAAGTTATGGAAGTTACCTGTTTAGTTGTTGTAGCGCTTAAAGAAGATAGTCTTTAGCAGGATGCCAAAGTTTCATTGCAGAATGGAACCAGGAGATTGTGATCTATGGTGAGAGGAGGGATTGAGCCATGGATCTCATTTCTGACATTTCTATTTTCAGCTCTCTTACTAAGTTACTGATTGGCTTTACAGTATTACAGAGTCCCTTAACCTTTTAGTGCCTAGTGTTGCTTCCCTGTAGAATATGTTAATAATAGTTCCACATGGGAATATTATAACAACTAATATGTAATTTTAAAGCTTTGGAGAGTGCTTTATGTGATTATGTGGATTAAAATAAACTATCAGAAGGCATTGAGAAATTTTGTTACAGCAAGGAAGTGTTAATGTAAGTCAAATATCAATGATTCATAAACTGAGTACGAATATCTAAATTTCATTGTATAAAAATTGTTTTAAGTGTTATTGGACTGTAGCTAGTTTAAATGTGAAACCTTATAGTATACAATTCATACTTTTTATTTTACTTTGTATCTTGATTGAAGAATTGTCAAACAGTAATGTTTTTAATGTCTGACCTAAAAGAAAGAGATTGAGTTATATTAGCTTTGAAAAGTTGAACAATTCTGCAATGTAATTTTCAAAAAACCTGTTTAATTTTCTTAACACTTGCTTTAAACTCATTAACTATTTCACCAGAGTTATAAAAAGACCATATCTATATAGATGAGTAATATGAAGCTGTGTTCCATCTGTATTACTCTGTTCAGAATTTACGATTTTAGGTCATTACTATTGCAAAATCAAGCAACAATTTAATCAATTTTAATAACTTTAATAAAGGAAAAAATGGATCACTTTAGTTATTATTATGCTGAGGTATGAACACATGAACAGCAATTATTTTAGATTATAATAAACCACCAATCATTTCATAGTTAAAATTTGCAAGATTTTAGTATCTATCATTAAACATTGAGCAGTTAAGGAACTGAATGATAAAATCTAGAGATCTCCTCTATGAATAAAGTTTAAGAAGTGTAAGTGGAGTTTTATGTTTTTTTTCTTTTTTTGAGACAGAGTCTCACTCTTTTGCCCGGGCTAGAGTGAGTGCTGTGGCGTCAGCCTAGCTCAAGCAACCTCAAACTCCTGGGCTCAAGTGATCCTTCTGCCTCAGCCTCCCGAGTAGCTGGGACTACAGGCATGCGCCACCATGCCCGGCTAATTTTTTCTATATATTTTTAGTTGTCTGATTAATTTCTTTCTATTTTTTAGTAGAGACGGGGTCTCGCTCTTGCTCAGACTGGTTTCGAACTCCTGAGCTCAAAGAATCCGCCTGCCTCGGCCTCCCAGAATGCTAGGATTACAGGCATGAGCCACCGCGCCTGGCCGAGTTTTATGATTTTTAATAACTGTTTAGTAACATTTTGGGGAATAAATCTCATCTAAATTGCCTGTGAATAGGTGTTTGTTTAAAACAACAGTTTTCTTAGACGTGTCAAATCTATAATAATTAATTGAGATGGTTCTCCATGCCCAAATAAGAGAAACTAATTAAATATGTGGAAATGGCTTTCTTTTATATTGAGGTAACTTTTCCCTACTGAATTTAGCCCTCTCATGAACACAAATTTAGAGTATACACTGATAAATATATAAGGTATAAAGCTAATATTAATTAGACCAGCAAAAGATGGCTCTAGGTGACAATGGTAAAAGGAATGGAAACTTTCTATAATGAGTAGAGAAAGTGGTGATGTGCTTTAAATTCAATTCAGCAAGCATTTGTTGAGAAACTATATGCAAGAAACCATGCAAAGTGCTGGAATTACAAAAATTAACAAAATATTGGGTCTGTCCTAAGGTGCTCATGGCATGGTTTATGAAACAAATGTAGTATCAAATTATTTGCAAAACAATATGACAAACTCAAATAGGATGAGTATAAGATGAGAGAAGAAGTATGTATTTACGTGTGGCTGGGAGATGAGCAAACTATGAAGGCACAAGAGTAGATCAGATTATATTAATAAAAATATAGTAACATTTGTTGAGTTTTCAGTTTGTGCCAGGCATAGTGCTGTGCAGTTTACATGCCTTTTCTCATCAATCTTTGCGATAACACTCTGAAGCAATACTGGTATTATCATCCCATATATTAATGAGGAAACTGAGGCTTAAGTAACATTTCCATAATCACAGAGCTAGTAATTGCGAAGGTAAAGATTCAGTTGATATCTGCCATCTCTAGAAGCAAAGTATTTAACTGTTGTACTGTTGTGCTTATGAGTTATGAGGCTTTATTTTAGTGGCCATAGGAAGTGATGGAAAGGCTTTAAGGTGATAAATACCTTGATCAGTATTTTATTTTAGATACACCACTTTGCTTGAAATTTGCAGGATGGCTTGATAGAGGGTTACATGAACTTCTGGAACTTGGTTGTGTAGTAATGTTAGTGAGGAATAATGAGTAGTGGGGATTCATATGGAGTGGGGTAGGATAGAGACCAGTATGATAGGTATTTAAGAAGTAGAATACATAGCATTTGGTAATCAGTGCAGATATGAGGTTAGAGAAGTATCACCAAATATTACAGAACAAGCTGGTTAAAGCAGAAAAGGGAAGGAAGGGTTTATGGCAGTGAATGGGGTGGTCAAGAAAATGATGAATTCAGTTTTAGATCTACTGAGAGTTTGAATTATCCATGGGGTATCCAGCCAGAAACTTGTAGAACTGACATAGTGAAAGATATATACATTGGAATTGAGAATAGATTACTGTATATAACACATTAAAAAAGTTATAAAGGTAAAGTTGATGAACATAGGAAGGGAAAAAGACTACAGAGCACTGTGAAGTGTAATGCCATTACTTAGAAATCAAAGGACAGTGAGAATAAAGAAAATCCAAGGGATGCTTTAAAAAACTAATTTGGAGAGTAAGTTACTTATTTGCAAGTCCAGAAAAAAAATCGCAATTAAAGGATTCTTTAGATAATGACTTTTATTACTCAAGGACTTATCCCTATCTTAGGAGGATATTTATATAAATGTGATAAAAATCTGTATCCCTTTGTTAAAAGCCTATAGGAAGAGTTCTTTGCCAAGGGACTATCAGTAAAATAGTTTATAGAGGGGTCATCTTTTCCAAATATAAATCTCTTTCTAGATGTGGACAATACATTTAGAAGAAGAAATTAAAATACCTAATGTATATTTATATAGAAATTGTTTAGTGTTACTTGCATTAAAAATTCAGTCTACTATTTTGAACAATCAAATTAGCAAAATGAAGAAAATGAACCTGCTTAACAACGACAAGGATGTTTATATGCTGCTTGGTGGGAACGGCATGTGGCCTAACCCTTCTGAGAAACAGCTTTATAATCTTTATCAAAGGCTTTAAAAGATATTCATCTTTTTGACCAGACACTTCCATTTCTTGATCTTTACTTACCTTAAAGAAATAATCAGTAATGTGTAAAAAAATTTGGATATAAAAGTATTTACTAAAGTTATTTATAATAGTGAAATATTGGAAATTATTTAAATGTTACAACTGGAAAACATCTAAATAACCAGTGACTTAATATAGAGACTTAACTATTCAGAGGCATCAAAGCATACTGAAAAGACTATGGCTTTGTAGCCCAGTTCAGTCAGTTGAAAGTATTAAGATTTTGAAATAATTGGATTTACTGAAAATACATGGTATGTTGTAATTGTTCAAGTAATAGATACTATCATTTTGTATGTAGAGCCATCAAGAAATATGTATGAAGAATTTTTAAAGATGTAGAGAAAAATGAGTATGCTATGTAAAGTGAAAAGAACAGGTTTGCAATAACATATTACCTCATTTATGTTAAATATGTTTTTCTTATACATGCATAGGAAAAGGGAAGGAAAAAAATTCACCAAATGTTAATTGTGATTGTCTCTGAATGGTAGAATCCTGGGTGATGTTTTAAATTTCCCTTAGACTATTGTGTATTTTTTGAATTTTCTACAATGACTATGTGTTTTATACTTTTTTGGAAAAGTAAGTTATCATTAAAAACAAAGGGCCAGGCTTGGTGGCTCATGCCTGTAATACCAGCACTTTGGGAGGCTGAGGCAGGAGGATCGCTTGAAGTCAGGAGTTCGAGACTCAGCCTGGGCAACATAGTGAGACCCTGTCTCTACAAAAAATTTTAAAAAATATTAGCCAGTTGGGGTGAAGCGAGCCTGTGATCCCAGCTGCTCGGGAGGCTGAGGCAGGAGGATCGCCTGAGTCCCAGGAATTAGAGGCTTCAATGAGCTATGATCATGCCACCACACTCCAGTCTGGGCAACAGAGCCCTGTCTCAAAGAAAAAAAAAAAAAGGAAAAAACTTACAAACTTGGAAGTTCAAGGCATATTTGTATTTTATTGAATTTTATCTCTAGCAGACATAACTAGTGAGTTTTGTCTTTATATTAATTTTGTCTTTACCTTTTCATTGCTTACAAATAATATTGGAATGAAAGTAACATGAAAGGAAAGTTATTTTTGCTAGTAGCTCTGGGCTATATTTGTGTTAACTAATTAGAGTTAATTAAATTTTTTTTTTTCCCAGAAACAGCATTTAAATTTAAAGCCCTAAAGAAGATTGCACAGTTAGCAGTTATAAATAGCCTAGAAAAGGTAAGTTACAACCTTTTTGGTACTAAAATTTTAGTTTTGGTTATAAATTTTGCTGTCTTTATTAGTATTTTGAATCAAATAATTATGACAAGTGATAATTTCACATTAAGTTTTAGGAAAAATGTAATATTCTTATGAGGGAAATTAGGAATTTGTGACATTTTATCTACTGTATTAAGAAAAGGTCACTGCCTTCATATAAAGACACATGTTTTGTTATTTGTAGGCATTTTGGAACTGGGTAGAAAATTATCCAGATGAATTTACAAAGCTATACCAGATTCCACAGACTGATATGGCTGGTAAGGATGAGATTGATATTTTGTCTTTTAAACTCTTGCTTATGAGGTAAAAACTTATCACTTTGTAAGTTATTTTTGTCATAAAGGTACATTTACACTTTCTATTGTCAACTGATGTCAAATAGGAGATATTATTTTTTTCTCATATTTCTCAATTACTCCTCAACCCTCTTCCTTTCCTTTGAGCAAATAGAAAGAAGTTTAATAGAAGCTCTATCTTTAGAGTTGTAATTAGATATTTGCTTTTTTATTGTAGAGAAGCATGTTTTTGTCCTCTAAGGCTTTATTTTATATTTAGGGAAATGTGTATAAAGTAGTAATATTCTTAGCTATGATGTAAGAATTCTGAGGACACAACTGCATGGTAGAGAACAGTCCCCTGGAGAACTTCGGTAATTCTCTTTGGGAAGCTGTCCAGTCTTTGTTGCTTGGGTACATCACACTTTGTATAATGCCCTGCACATTCAGACTAAACACGGGATCAGCCATTCTAAAGTGTGTACTTTTTCAGAGTGGATCAAGATAGCTCTTCTAACACATAGACAACATAGCATTCCTTGTCTACTTACCTGAATGGATTTGTGTAGTTGTTGAGGTGAACTTCCAAATTTATCTTTTAAAAGTGTGGCCTTTTTGGGTTTTCGGATAGTGCCAGCTTTTAATTTGATCCTAGAAATTTTTTTCTCATCTAATAACGTCATTTAATATATTTTTCATGTAGAGTGTGCAGAAAAACTATTTGACTTGGTGGATGGTTTTGCTGAAAGCACCAAACGTAAAGCGGCAGTTTGGCCACTACAAATCATTCTCCTTGTCTTGTGTCCAGAAATAATCCAGGATATATCCAAGGATGTGGTTGATGAAAACAACATGAATAAGGTGAGAAGGGCAAAATTATTTCCATTTTGTCCAGTGAAACAGTTTATTTTATTTAAAGTGTGTATTAGTTTAGGTTCATCATTCTTTAAGCAAACTATTTCAGGGGATCATTTGAATTATAATCATTTTAGGACTCTGTTTGCTGGCCTTAGCAGAGACATACATAATTTTATTTGGAGGAGGGATAAATAATACCACATAATGATCAAAGATTTAAAATGATCCCTTAGTTTCATTCTTTTATCAGAGAAGACTAAATGATCCCTCTTAATGTTAAACACAGTTTCTCTAAAATTCACTGCAAGGGTTGTACTACTAAATTTCAACACTTTTATAGTGTGTTACTTGTGTGTACTTAGGTGTGTGTCCACTTGGTGCTGCTGAAATTATCTGGTAACTCATTTTAGGTGTTTTAGAACAATTTTCACAGGATTTTACTAGGAAGGTAGGCTACAGATGTACCATCTGTAGTGAAATTGGCATTGTAACAACTGGTAATTCTAAGAGGCTCTTATAATTTTTTAAAACCAAGAGCTGAGTGTTAATCTTACTGTTTTGTTTAAATTTCAGGATGCACTTTGTTTTACAAATACATTTTTTCTTTTTTTGCTGATTTGGGAGAAATACCCTTGGTTGACTAAACATGAAATGAGCTCCTGTGTGATTTGCCTGTAGATGGAGATGTTCAAAATCAGCTGAATGATTCAATACTTTGTAGAAATATTGGAAAGGGAATTTATGCATTAAAGGGTAAATAAATGAAATAGGTAATCTTTGAGAGTCTGTGATTCTATGATACTCCACTTAGGTCTATATCCTAACTTTCCATTATGAGGAACGATTTTTCATGTTAGATTGTTTTGGAGCCCTTTAAAATAGTACCTATTTTTGTTTGTTTGTTTATTGGAAAAATAGAAATAGGTAAACAGCTACCACAACTATATCTTTTTAAATGTTTGTTGGTCATTTGTATATCTTTAGTGAATTGCTAATTTTTCCATTGAATTATTTGTCTTTTGTTGATTTGTGGGGGATATGTGTGTGTATTTTTACTTGATTTCTCTTTTTAAACTTTAGTTATGAGATCTTTTTGCTATATAGATGTTTAAAATTTGGGTGTAATCAACTTAGTCTTGTTCTTTTTTGTCTCCTAGCTTTTTTGATAAGACCTCCCTTCCCCAAGATTTTATTCATTCATTTTATTCATGTACCATAAAATTCACCCTTTTAAAGTGTATGTTTCAGTGGTTTTTAGTATATTCACAAAGTTGTGCAGTTGTCACCACTAATTCCAGAACATTTTCATTTTCCCAAAAAGAAACCCCATATCCATTAGTAAGTCACTCCGTTTCCCTCTCCTCGTATCCCTTGGCAATCACTAACTACTCTTTGTCTTTATGGATTTGTTTATTCTAGACTGGATATTTCATATAAATGGAATCGTACAATATATGACTTTCTTGTCTGGCATGCCCCAAGATTTTTGAAGTACGCTTTTCTGTTTTTCTCTGGTATTTTTCTGGGTTAAAAATTTAGATCTTTAAATCTTTCTGGATTTATAAAAATGTATGCATTTTTTATGTATTCTCACTCTTTTCTAGTCACATTCCCTCTGAACTAACCAGTGTTAATGGCTGGTGTGTATCCTTCTATTCATATCTACTTGCTCATACAAATATTCAAATGAAAATACACATTGGTACAGGTGATGGTTGTTATATTTTAAACTGAAATCATTTTACACATTTTACTCTACATCTTGCTTTCTTTGCCTACGAATATATTCTGATTGTTCCTCAAAATAGTTAATAGAGATCTAACACATTCCTTTTAGTTTTGGGTAATATTCTATATTACACTAATGAGCTTTGTTAACTGAACCATTTCACTGTGAATGGATTTATTCAGATGTTTTCAGTTTTTTTACATTATAGTTAATCCTTAAGTAAATATCTTTGTTCATATATTCTTATCTGATGCTCCTAATTTTATAAACTAGAATCCCCAACTGGAATTTCTGTGTCAAGGACATTTGTATTTAGAATTTTTAATAGTTATTACTAGATTTACATTCCCCAATAATTGTAGGAGGTCACATTTTCACCAACACTAAATTAGATTGCCTATTTTCCTGCATTCTCATTAGGACTACCTGTTTTTACGTCTTTTTAATTTTTGCCACACTAATGAGGTAAGACAGTATCTTATCTAAAGTGTTCTTACTACCCCCCCCAAAAGGTAAACTATGTGAGGTGATGGATATGTTAATTACCTTGATTGTGGTAATCATTTATAATATATATGTATATCAAAAACATCATGTTGTACACCTTAAATATATACAATTTTTATTTTTCAATCGTACCTCAGTAAAGCTGGTAAACGACGTCATTCTAAATGGAATCAAACAATAGATACTAACATTACAATTATGTATAAATTTTCAAGCATAGAATGCTAGCAATATAAAATTAGGAACAAGAATATATATATAGAGAAATAGATAGATAGATTTTAGCATTTATATCTGTGAATGTAATTCCACAGATATAAATGTTGAAAGCAAGTTACAATCATGGCAAAAATGAAGATTATGTTATACACCTGTAATATGAAAATAAAATATCAAAGGCACATACTTATTTACTCAAATATTTATCCTCCAGTGCTCCTAACGCCTTTAGTCATATAGCCTAAATTTGAAAACAGCCCAAATGTCCATCAGCTGGTGAATGAATAAACCAACTGTGGTACCTTGAGAATACTCCTCAGCAGTAAAAAGGAACTAGTGACTGAGCAACATGGGTGAATCTCAAAACCATTATTTGAAGTAAATGAAGCCAGGCTCAGGAAATGACATATGATTTCTTTTAAAAGAACTTCTAGGCCAGGCGCAGTGGCTCACTCCTGTAATCCTAGCACTCTGGGAGGCCGAGGCGGGCAGATTGTTTGAGCTCAGAAGTTCGAAACCAGCCTGAGCAAGAGCGAGACCCCGTCTCTACTAAAAATAGAAAGAAATTAATCGGACAACTAAAAATATATAGAAAAAATTAGCCGGGCATGGTGGCGCATGCCTGTAGTCCCAGCTACTCGGGAGGCTGAGGCAGAAGGATTGCTTGAGCCCAAGAGTTTGAGGTTGCTGTGAGCTAGGATGACGTCATGGCACTCTAGCCCGGGCAACACAGTGAGACTCTGTCTCAAAAAAAAAAAAAAAAAGAACTTCTAGAGAAGACAAAATCAGGGACAGAAAGCAGATCAGTGGATGCTAGGGTTAGGAGTTAGGGGAGGAAATTGACTGGAAAAGGACCATTAGGGTACTTCTTGTGGTGATGGAAATGTTCTGTGTCATGACTGTAGTTGTAGTTACATGACTGTTCTTTCTCAGAGTTCGTCAAGTTGTACACTTGAAATTACTGATGCTCATTATATGTTAATTATACCTCAATAAAGCTAATTGAAAATAATTCATATTTAATAAGTGATATAAAAGAAAGAGAAAGTATTAATGGCTCAAACATTAATTTTCCAAATGAGTGCATTAATTAAAATACTCAAATGAATATTCATAGAGAAGAGAGTATCTCATTTTAATTTTTATTCCCCTTAACGATTAGTAAGGTTCAGGATCATTTGATATGTTTCTTGGGCATTTGCATGTTTTCTTTTGCAAGTGTCTGCTGACTTCCTTCACCTCTTTTTCTATTAGGTTGCTTGCCAGTCTCATTAATTTGTGGAACTTTTTGTATATAAGGAGCAATAATCCTTTATTTTTAGCCTGATATAGATATTTTTCTAGTTAATTGTTTCTTTTGGATATAGTATCTTTTTTTAGCAGAAATATTTGAAATGTACAAAGAATGTAACAATCTCTCATAATCCTATTAACATTTTGATATATTGCTCATCTTTTTTTCTTTTATATATAGTTTTAAAAATTGAACAAGTACTATTTGCATAAATTCTCAGTTAATTACAAATTTCCTTTGATTTCACTAATTCTTTCTTGTTCTTCACCAGGGACAGCCACTGTCAGGGGTCAGAGGTGTATTCTTCCAGTCTAGCTTTTATATTTTTATTGGGGGGGTGTGAATAGATAGATACAGATATTTAGTTAAGTGTTTCTCAGAGTGCGATATTTAGATCAGCAGCATCAGCATCACCTGGAAATTTGTTAGAGAGGCAAATTCTTAGGTCCCTAACCTAGGCCTGCTGAATCAGAAGCCCTGGAGGCAGGGACCCACAGCTAACAACCTGTTTTCAGCAAGTCCTCCAAGTCATTGTGAGGCATACTAAAGTTTGAGAACCATTGTTCATCTAGGTCATTGTCTTTAAGTGCTATATGATGTTTCCCAAATTCAATATATCATATATATATATATATATTTTTTTTTTTTTTTGAGACAGAGTCTCACTGTGTTGCCCGGGCTAGAGTGCCGTGGCGTCATCCTAGCTCACAGCAACCTCAGACTCCTGGGCTCAAGTGATCCTCCTGCCTCAGCCTCCTGAGTAGCTGGGACTACAGGCATGTGCCACCATGCCTGGCTAATTTTTTCTATATATTTTTAGTTGTCCAATTAATTTCTTTCTAATTTTAGTAGCGACGGGATCTCGCTCTTGCTCAGGCTGGTTTCGAACTCCTGAGCTCAAACAATCCACCCACCTCGGTCTCGCAGAGAGCTAGGATTACAGGACTGAACCACCGCGCCCGGCCATATATATTTTTTTAAGAAATGGCGTCTCACTATGTTGCCCAGGATGGTCTTGAACTTCTGAGCTCAGGTGATCCTCTGGAGTAACTGGGACTACAGGCACAGGCCACCACGCCTGGCTTGAATATACCATGTTTTAAAATCCCTTATTGTCAAGCATTTAAGTAACTTTCTTTAAAAAAATTAACAGTAATGCAAAGGAAACAATCAACAGAGTGGAAACGACAGCATACAGAAGGGGAGAAAATATTTGCAAACTATTTATCCAACAAGGGATTAATATCCAAAATA